TGAAGTTTGGGGAAACGCACAGGCCTAAAACTTGGAGAAGTGTCTTATTTACTCATCTTCTACAACGTCACCGACACAATTTCTTAGCTTTTTCCTCTGAATGGTTTTCGATTTATTTTTGTTGCGTGACAGTGAAAACGAGCTATACATCGGGCTGAAATTCCTTGGGACAGTTACACCTAATCGTGCTATGCCCTTTTACTATGTAGAATAACCAGAACTGATGTTTTTGAAACTTTATGAGAAATGAATCGCTTATGCTAATGAAGCAAAGATTCCCTAAATTTTCTACGAAAGTAACGCAACCCTTACACCATAGTTAAACTATGCTTACACTGAGCGATCCGCTAGTCGGCATGGAAAAAAAATTGTTACCTTTTCCACGTGAACGGAAAATGTAGACGTCTAGCTGAGCGTAAAAGGACTGTTCGAGGTAAAAATTGTAAAACATCCAATCAAGGTGTATTTCAGCGATTCTTGGTCGGCTGACGGCAGTTTAGAATTGATTTTCCGCGTTACTGAACTAGAAAGATCTAATATTTTCTGTCATTGTTCGCAAACTTCTGTAAAATCCCGGATGAATCTTTAAACATTGGTCTCTACTCACGCTAGCTGACTTGAGTAACAGTTAGACTCTGTGCTTTATCCCAATGGAACCTAAGTACAAAGAACCAGCCGTGAAAACACCAACTGCGGCACAACTCACCGAGATTGCCTCGCAACTTGGATTCGACTTGGGACCCGCTGAAATCCAGGAGTACAAAGGTATGGACTGTCAGTTCTTGACGAAATGAATTCACAATCAGGCAACTGAGGCAGAAGTACGACTTTCATCAGTGAAGTAATACTCTTACGGCTAGAGTCACGAGAAAATGTTTGGTATCTCACTAAATTTCAGGTATAAACTCGTGATCGACTGTAACCTTTTCGACCTTATTCATGACATCGATGGCGCGTTACGTTCCTACTGGCAAAGTGCGTGATCCAAACATCTGTGTACGTGTGAGAATACATGATCATAATAGATGATAATACTCAATTCTGAAATAACTATACATAACCTGGCACGCAAGGTGTTGATTTTCGATTCGACAATAGAAAGTATAAACGGTTAATACGCATGGTTGAGAATAATATCGCCGCACAGTAGATTTTGTCATGGCCGAAAAATGGAGTAGAAGACTGTTCTCACATCAGTAAAAGGGTCCCCTGGTCAATTTTCTCATCCATGAACCTTTTCACACCTGTTTCAAAAGCCACAACAGTAGCTGTAGTCTCCTTTACGTGAGTGGCGTGAGCGTGAGAAAATCAGCAAAAGCCCTTCACAAATTATGTTTACGGTAATTCAACATCAGTCTGAACTAGGGAACTTATTATAACTCAGGTCTGAAACGGGGTTTTGATTTAAAGGGCATGTAAACCCAAAA